TATCAATACTATATCTTACTACTGTACTACAGTGTATCAATACTATATCTTACTACAGTGTATCAATACTATATCATACTACTGTACTACAGTGTATCAATACTATATCTTACTACAGTACTACAGTGTATAAGTTCTATATCTTACTACAGTACTACAGTGTATCAATACTATATCTTACTACTGTACTACAGTATATCAATACTATATCATACTACTGTACTACAGTGTATCAATACTATATCTTACTACAGTGTATCAATACTATATCTTACTACTGTGTATCAGTACATATTGCTCATACTACATAATGCTCTTGCACAGATGGAATCACTATATTTCAGCCATATTCTTGTGATGAGAAGATTGTTCTCTTGAAGGCTACTGAATATTCAGTGTTATTTATATATTTATAAATATGTTTGTGATATCAGACAGACCTACCAGGGTATTACCTTGATTTTTTACCTCACTGTTTGTTGACAGGGTACAGGCTTCCAGGGGACTAGGTGTAACACAAAAGTCATGGACTGTCTCGACAACACCTGTCTCAATATGGGCGTATGTCATGATTACAGGAACGAATTCAAGTGCTCCTGTTTGCCAGGTATGTTACACTGGTCCCGCTGCTGTGAGATAACTGTGCGAGACAAGTTATAGGACTGTCTGGACAACGGTTTTGTTCCCATCGGAATAGGTGTTAATGTTGGGACTTGGGCAAGGTCATTCATTAATAGTAGATAAACGTTTCCAATGTTTGCAATAGGTTTTATGTTTTAATTGTGGCAGATATCTTGGGTATAATTTGAAACAATTTCATTTTTATAAGTCCCCCACCGGTTCCCGGGGGGACTATAGGTTTGCACTCCGTCCGTCCATCCTTCCTTCCATCCCTCCTTCTGTCCGAAAAGTTTGTCCAGGACATCTGCTTTACTTCTTCATCTGGAGTTATCAAGTTTGGTGTTCAAGGACATCTTCGGATGGCAGAGTGCAAGAATTAGGTCAATGTGACCTATGACTTGACCTTTGACCTTTATACTTTTGAAATGTTTGTCGCGAGCATATTTTCTGTACTACCGGTATTTCACCTGGAGTAACCAGATTTGGTGTGCACAGACATCTTGGGATGGCAGAGTGCAATAATTAAGTCACTGTGACCTATGCTTTGACCTTTGACCTTTACTTTTGAAAATGTTTCTATACTTCTATTTCACCTGGAATAACCAAATTTGGTATGCAAGGACATTTTGGGATGGGGGAGTGCAGAGCACAAGAATAAGGTCACCATGACCTCACTGTGACCTATGCTTTGAACAGTAGATACATCCTGACATAAGTGCACTGTTTGTTAAATATAGAAATCATTACCGATGGAGGACTATATGGATTGCCTTGCAATGCTTTGCCTTGTTCTAAAAGGATGATTTCTCATTTTGTTCTTTTGGTTGCATATAATGTCTGCTCTAAATCATTGAATATCTGAATTTCTGAACCTCAGATCAATTGTGTCACTTTGTGTTTTAAATCAGTGTGAAGATTTGTATAGCTTTTGCAAACGAAGTTTGTGGGGGTGGGGGATTGATAGGAATCACACTGTCTGTCCATCTACATGTCCATGATCCTTGTAAACACAACTGTGTGTAAACAGTGTGTGGGACTTTTTTGTAACGTGAATGTGCATGAAGAAAAAAAATTGTGATTTGACTATTTTTCTTGGCCCTTGAAAAGTTCTGTTTCTGAAATGTTGTGAGCTCGACTGCTCTTTAACGGTTGTTGGAATGTTTTGTAACTTCACACTGTAAAATTGCATCATGTGTACATGAAGACAGGAATTTGCAATATAACTTTTTTTTCCCTGGAGTTATGGCTATTGAAAATTAAATTTCTGCTCCAGAAACCTTGTAAGTACAACTCCACCTTAACTTTGTGTAAGAAGTTTTGGTAACTCGGCACAGTCAAACTACATCATTTGTACATGTGCTTGAGGAAAGTTGACTAACCAGATTTGGTATGCAGGTATGTCTTGGCTGGGTGAGCACAGGAAGTATATATCACTGTGGCCTTTATTGGCTGGGTGAGTACAGGAAGTATATATCACTGTGGCCTATATTGGCTTGGTGAGTACAGGAAGTATATATCACTGTGGCCTTTATTGGCTGGGGGAGTACAGGAAGTATATATCACTGTGGCCTATATTCTAACATATAGGTTCACAGCTGAGTAAATAAAAAAACATTACCAGTAGGCCAATTTGGATTGCTTTGCAATACCTTGTTTAGCCTTTTGCTTACAGTTTTAGTTAATTTTGTGATGTGTATCCCAGATTTCACAGGATCCCAGTGTGAAGAGGCGGTGGATAAGTGTGTGTCCAGACCTTGTCTGAACCAGGCATTGTGTCTTGATGGCGTCAACAACTATTCCTGTATATGTCAGGTGTGTACAATCCCTTCACGTCAAGAGTGGTGTATTCTAGCTAGATAGGACACTTTATTGAATATTGTATCGCACTCATGACAATCATGAAACCTCAACACACAAAATTAAACAATGGTGGCTGAAAAAGTAATAGGGGAAGATGGTGATGAAATCTAAATAAATGTCCCGCTCCAAATAGCTGTCACTGGAACAAAAACAAACAGGTCATATGAACCATAAACACACATAAAAAATATGGAACATAAGAAACATATGATCTGAAAATTAACAAATATGAACCGGACAATACAATATTGTACAATGTATAATAATAATCAAAGGTAAACCGTTCCTAAACTAGTGCAGTGTGTATATGCATCTAGTAGTGCCTCGATCATTGACAAGTAAAAAGTGAGTGTTAGTTTTAGTGTAACTTGGTGATAAGTTAACATGTTGTTTCCCTACAGCGAGGATACACGGGAACTCACTGCGAGATTGATATTAAAGAATGCCAGAGTAACTCCTGCAGGAATGGTGGCACATGCAAAGATGGAATTGATGATTTTGAATGCACCTGTGCCAGAGGTAAAACCATCTCACATTCATAGTTACCAAAATGTACTCTTTTTATCTGAATCTAAAAATGTGAAGAGAATTGTGGTAGTTTACAAGATGGCCCTTTGTTGATTCCTGCTGTATGTTAAAGGGTATGCAGGGAAGTCATGTGCAGTGAACATAGAGGATTGTTTGTCATCACCGTGTCGGGACAACAACACTGTCAAGTGTGAGGACCTGGTGGACGGCTTCCTCTGTGTCTGTAAACCAGGATGGACAGGTACGTATATAAAGTGGGAGGACCTGGTGGACGGGTTCCTCTGTGTCTGTAAACCAGGATGGACAGGTATGTAAATGCAGGAGGTTGAGAGTGAAAGTATACCGAGGGGTAGGGCTGGGGGGCTGATGACACCATTTAGTGGGTGAACTATAGTATACCATAGCAAGAATGAACAATGTAACTAGATGATATATTTGGCACCCCAACCCTGGCATCCCTCCTAAAGATGCTGGGGAATAAAACAATTTGAACCAAAAAAAAAAAGAGAAAAAAAGAAAAAAGAAAAGTTATAATTTGTTTTAGATTATAAACAGATGAACATTAACTGAATGTACAGCTCATGAAGACAACATGTGGGTGTGTTTAAGATATAGCAGGTTCCTGCTTTGATGTGATTTCATATTGTGTGATATGTATGTTTGTCTACTGTGTCCAGGTGTGAACTGTGAGACCTTACTTGAGGAGTGTACCTCCCATCCCTGCCAAAACGGTGCTACTTGTCGGGACATTGACGTTGACTACATCTGCAGCTGTCCTACTGGTTATACTGGACTTGACTGTCAGGTAGGCTTACATCAGACAAATCTTTAACAGCCTACAGGCTTCTTCAGTTCCAGACAGCTTACATGGGTCTGACATTTAATTACCTAGGTAGTTGAGATAGAAGGCTATCAAGTTTGTTCCAATATGCATGTATTACCTTCATTTCCCTTCAAAATAACAGGCCTAAGGTCAGAATATTTGAGTGGCTTGAGTGTTCTCAGATGAATGGCAAGGCTTAAGGGCTTCATGTTAAATCATGAAATTGATGATGAATTTGCAGCAGTATCAGATTATTCTGGTTTTATTACATCTGTACAGGTGGATGTGGACGACTGTGCATCAGGTCCATGTTACAACGGTGGAAATTGTACAGACAGAGTCAACAGCTACACCTGTACCTGCCTTCAAGGCTTCACAGGGGCAAAGTGTGAGGATTTGCTAGATCAGTGCTCTTCATCACCCTGTCACAACTCAGGCACCTGTGTCAGTCTCCTCGGCAACTACAGATGTAGGTACGTATTCACGCTGTTACAACTCAGACATCTGTGTCAGTCTCCTACACAACTACAGCTGTAGGTATGTATTCACTCTGTTACAACTCAGACACCTGTGTCAGTCTCCTTCACAAATACAGCTGTAGGTACGTATTCACTCTGTTACAACTCAGACATCTGTGTCAGTCTCCTCAGCAACTACAGCTGTAGGTACGTATTCACTCTGTTACAACACAGACATCTGTGTCAGTCTCCTCGTCAACTACAGATGTAGGTACGTATTCACTCTGTTACCACTTAGACATCTGTGTCAGTCTCCTCAGCAACTACAGATGTAGGTACGTATTCACTCTGTTACAACTCAGGCACCTGTGTCAGTCTCCTCGGCAACTACAGCTGTAGGTACGTATTCACTCTGTTACGACTCAGACATCTGTCTCAGTCTCCTCGACAACTACAGCTGTAGGTACATATTCACTCTGTTACAACTCAGACATCTGTGTTAGTCTCCTTCACAACTACAGATGTAGGTATGTATTCACTCTTTTACAACTCAGGCACCTGTGTCAGTCTCCTCGGCAACTACAGATGTAGGTACGTATACGCTCTGGTACGACTCAGACATCTGTGTAGGTACGTATTCACTCTGTTACGACTCAGACATCTGTCTCAGTCTCCTCGACAACTACAGCTGTAGGTACATATTCACTCTGTTACAACTCAGACATCTGTGTATCTGTGTCAGTCTCCTCAGCAACTACAGATGTAGGTACGTATTCACCCTGTTACAACTCAGGCACCTGTGTCAGTCTCCTCGGCAACTACAGCTGTAGGTACGTATTCACTCTGTTACGACTCAGACATCTGTGTCAGTCTCCTCAGCAACTACAGCTGTAGGTATGTATTCACTCTGTCACAACTCAAGCACCTGTGTCAGTCTCCTTGGCAACTACAGATGTAGGTACGTATTCACTCTGTTACAACTCAGACATCTGTGTTAGGCAACTACAGATGTAGGTATGTATTCACTCTGTTACAACTCAGACATCTGTGTCAGTCTCCTACACAACTACAGATACTCAGACACCTGTGTCAGTCTCCTCAGCAACTACAGCTGTAGGGATGTATTCACTCTGTCACAACTCAAGCACCTGTGTCAGTCTCCTTGGCAGCTACAGATGTAGGTACGTATTCACTCTGTTACGACTCAGACATCTGTGTCAGTCTCCTTGGCAACTACAGATGTAGGTACGTATTCCCTCTGTTCCAACTCAGGCACCTGTGTCAGTCTCCTTGGCAACTACAGATGTAGGTACGTATTCACTCTGTTACAACTCAGACACCTGTGTCAGTCTCCTTAGCAACTACAGATGTAGGTATGTATTCACCCTGTTACAACTCAGACATATGTGTCAGTCTCCTTCACAACTACAGATGTAGGTATGTATTCACTCTGTTACAACTCAGGCACCTGTGTCAGTCTCCTTCACAACTACAGATGTAGGTACGTATTCACTCTGTTCCAACTCAGACATCTGTGTCAGTCTCCTCAGCAACTACAGCTGTAGGTACGTATTCACTCTGTTACAACTCAGACATCTGTGTAAGTTTCCTCAGCAACTACAGATGTAGGCACGTATACACTTTGTTACAACTCAGACATCTGTGTCAGTCTCCTCAGCAACTACAGATGTAGGTACTATTCACTCTGTTACGACTCAGGCACCTGTGTCAGTCTCCTTAGCAACTACAGATGTAGGTACGTATTCACTCTGTTACAACTCAGACATCTGTGTAAGTTTCCTCAGCAACTACAGATGTAGGCACGTATACACTTTGTTACAACTCAGACATCTGTGTCAGTCTCCTCGGCAACTACAGCTGTAGGTACGTATTCACTCTGTTACAACTCAGGCACCTGTGTCAGTCTCCTTGGCAACTACAGATGTATGTACGTATTTACTCTGGTACGACTCAGACATCTGTGTCAGTCTCCTCGGCAACTACAGCTGTAGGTACGTATTCACTCTGTTATAACTCAGACATCTGTGTCAGTCTCCCAAGCAACTACAGCTGTAGGTACGTATTCACTCTGTTACAACTCAGACATCTGTGTCAGTCTCCTCAGCAACTCCAGATGTAGGTATGTATTCACTCTGTCACAACTCAGGCACCTGTGTCAGTCTCCTCAGCAACTACAGATGTAGGTACATATTCACTCTGTTACAACTCAGACATCTGTGTCAGTTTCCTTGGCAACTACAGCTGAAGGTACGTATTCACTCTGTTACAACTCAGACATCTGTGTCAGTCTCCTCAGCAACTACAGATGTAGGTACGTATTCACTCTGTCATAACTCAGGCATCTGTGTCAGTCTCCTTCACAACTACAGATGTAGGTACGTATTCACTCTGTTACGACTCAGACATCTGTGTCAGTCTCCTTGGCAACTACAGATGTAGGTACATATTCACTCTGTTACGACTCAGACATCTGTGTCAGTCTCCTCGGCAACTACAGATGTAGGCACGTATTCACTCTGTTACAACTCAGACATCTGTGTCAGTTTCCTCGGCAACTACAGCTGTAGGCACGTATACACTCTGTTACGACTCAGACATCTGTGTCAGTCTCCTCGGCAACTGCAGATGTAGGTACGTATTCACTCTGTTACAACTCAGACATCTGTGTCAGTTTCCTCGGCAACTACAGCTGTAGGCACGTATTCACTCTGTTACAACTCAGGCATCTGTGTCAGTCTCCTCAGCAACTACAGATGTAGGTACGTATTCACTCTGTTACAACTCAGACATCTGTGTCAGTCTCCTACACAACTACAGATGTAGGTATGTATTCACTCTGTTACAGCTCAGACATCTGTGTTAGTCTCCTGCACAACTACAGCTGTAAGTATGTATTCACTCTGTTTCAACTCAGACATCTGTCTCAGTCTCCTCGGCAACTACAGATGTAGGTACGTATACACTCTGGTACGACTCAGACATCTGTGTCAGTCTCCTCAGCAACTACAGATGTAGGTACGTATTCACTCTGTTACAACTCAGACATCTGTGTCAGTCTCCTACACAACTACAGATGTAGGTATGTATTCACTCTGTTACAGCTCAGACATCTGTGTTAGTCTCCTGCACAACTACAGCTGTAAGTATGTATNCTGTTACAACTCAGACATCTGTGTCAGTCTCCTACACAACTACAGAAGTAGGTACGTATTCACTCTGTTACAACTCAGACATCTGTGTCAGTCTCCTCAACAACTACAGCTGTAGGTACGTATTCAACCTGTTACAACTCAGACATCTGTGTCAGTCTCCTGGACAACTACAGATATAGGTACATATTCACTCTGTTACTATTCAGGCACTTTATCAGCCTCCTGGACAACTACAGGTGTAGGTATGTATTCACGCTGTTACAATTCAGGCACTTTTGTCAGCCTCCCGGACAACTACAGATGTAGGTACATTGTATATATTCACGCTGTTACAATTCAGGCACTTTTTTCAGCCTCCTGAGCAACTTGTAAGAAATATGCAGGTCATAATCATTCTCCAGAATAAAAATCAATGTTTCTTTTGTTGAATGTTTGTAGCCTTTATATATATGTGTGTGTGTTTGTGATTAACAGGTGTAAACATGGATGGACGGGACTGAACTGTGAGAATGAAGTTGATGATTGCTTGAGTATGCCTTGCCATAATGGAGGGACATGTCAAGACCAGTTCTTAGGCTATAACTGCACCTGTGCTCATGGTAACACTGTCTATACTGAATATATAGTGCTCAAAATATACCAATTAACATTTGTAAACAGTTGATTTTTTGGACAAATAGATTTATAATATATATGTTTTAAATAAATACCCTTTCAAAAAGGTGAATCTGATTCAGGACACTGCTTAGAACTTCAACAGCAAGATCAAGATTTATGTACCAGACCTGCTAACCCCTGAATCTCCCTAGGGGGGTCATGACCCCTATTGGGAAATTTTGTGGGGGGTGATAACGCGCGACAAAAAAATCACGTCTCAATTAATCATTTAATTTTTCGCGCCACCATGGCATAACATATGATGTGTCTTTTAGTAGGATTCAGGACCTTTTTTTTTTAAATAAATAAAACAAATTTTTTCACACATTTTGTTTTATTACATTCTCTTTTTTCAAAATACTTATTTTACATACAGGTAGTTTGAGTTAATTGTAGAAAACTTGGCATCTTTCATCATTGATGCATACTGGGAGCATAAACTCATCTAGAAGCTCCTCTATCTATTTCTCTCCCTCATCTTTATGTACTACATTGGGAATCTGACTGCCTGCAGGTTGGAAACTGGAAAAAAAAAAAAAAAAAAATATGCATTTTATGTTAAATACAGGTATTTATAATATTTTTATAATAATATCTTGGTACACTCAGATTTGTACGACTGCAACAAATTTTAAGGCAATCTCGCGATCAATATCGGGAAGCATTATCATGCAGATTTTGGTAAATAAAAATAATCATGATCTGTCGTTGAGAAAGTAATCACCAATGTGCTCAGAATTTAAGCTACTTGTCGTCACAATTTCGTGAAAATCGTTCACGTATGTCTGTTGATGTAATAAAGAGCACCCGAACCGACCGAAAGAATTTAGGTATACAGTAGAGTACAGTTTACAATAAGAATGATCGATCGGACTCATCATTTTTTTTATGAAGCCACTCAAAATCATTTGTCCACAAAGTATTGTTATAGCAGACATACTTATCATTGTGTCGCCTGCGAAAGCTGGTGATACATAGGTACTGCTAAGTCGGCATCGTCGGCGTCCGCACAGAGGTTTTCGTGCGATAACTTGAGTTTCTTTGGGCCTATCAAACTCAAACTTCATGCATTGCTCCCTTACCAAAAGTGCTTGCTTGGGATTGCTTTTCAGGTCCGAAGGTCAAAGGTCAAGGTCACTGTTACTATAAATAGAAAATCTGTTTTCGTGCGATAACTTGAGTTTCCTTGGGCCGATCAAACTCAAACCAACTTTTAACATTATTTCTTGAAATGAAAAGTGTATCTATTTCTTCGTAATCTCCCAGCTTCCTGCGCAGGCGACACATCCACTTCCGTGGAATTCTTGTTTTTCTAACGTTTTACGCAGTCCGGATTACGGTTGTGCATGTGAAGTGAAAGTACTACGATCGGGATTCCATGCACTGTTGTTATACCGTAAACAGTACTCACCTGTCAATTTTGCCTGGCTTCCACGAAAGAGAGACCGCCATTGTGAAAACACTTCGTATTGTGTACGGACTTTACTTATACCTGAATGCTAAACCTCCGAGACACACGAATGGAGCACTTCCGGAAATAGGGAGATACTAATATGAGCGCGGAGGCGGGTGATTCCGGGTCATGTGGACGGAATGCGGGAAATTTGTATGACCCGCGCGGGTCATGAGTTGGTCGCGGGTGATAGGTTAATTTTGCGGGTGTGACCCGCAAGATGCTGGTCATTTAGCAGGTCTGACAATGTATGTGTATGTAGAATATAGTCAAGTTAGTCAATATTGTTTATTTCAGTGTCAAATTTCACAGTTATATTGATACATGATAAAATATGAAAATAATATGACACATAAAATGTTTTCTTCTACCTTTATTGCATTAAAATGTGTTGTCTTCCTGTACTAAGAACAACAGTTTACTGTTAATTTGTAGACTACACAGGCCCTCAGTGTGATGTAGCGATGGATCCCTGTGACTTCCTGTCCTGTGAGAATGGGGGGAGCTGTGTTATAGAAGGGGGCCATGTTATGTGTGTGTGTGCACCCACCTATACAGGCCAGGTCTGCGAGGCCCTGATAGACAAGTGTAAGGTCAACAATCCCTGTCAGAATGATGCCATCTGCTCCTCCAGTGGATGTCAGTGTCAGCCTCTGTACACAGGGAAGCACTGTGACAAATGTAAGTCAGGCTTCACTAGTAAGGTCTTATAAAGAGTGCATCAATCAGGACTGGGGTCATTAAGTAGGGGGTTCCATCAATGTTGATGGATATGCCCTCGGGGTCCTATTGCAGAGGCGTGAAAAAGAGGATTATTTACAGTGATTAGCTGTGAGGGACATCAACCAGGCCTAAAGACAGTGGACATCAACCAAACATGATTTAACTGTTTTAACCAGCATTGGTAACAATACTTAAGGCCATTTTTTTCTCCAAAAGAGATGCGGCAGGGTGGTGTATAATTTTTTCATTTTACATGGCAAAAAAGAGACAAGGGCGATTTTTTTTTTATTATGTAGTTTGTAAAACGTTCATTGTGGGCATTACCTTGTCTTTTTATAGTTGTGTAGAGACGCTTGCCTGTATATCAATCCTTATCTTTATTCAAACGTTTTCGGGACTTGGGTGAAAAACAACATGCGGACCAATTTTCCGGAATTTTTTAAAGATGTCGGCTGGCTTATTCACGATTATTTTTTTTATTACTTTCACGATAAAATCGGCAATGCGGTGCCCTAAAATAAAATGTGCACAGGCCTGAGAACCAAGTAATCAAATTTTTTCGCCGTATAGCCTTTGTTTTTAGTATGTTGTTACATCAATTTACATATATTGGGATTTTTTCAATTAATTTTAAAACAAATTTAAATAAAGCTGTTAAGGGGTGTCATATCGCTCTGTCTGACTTATATTTGTTACATTTCAGTGATGACCAAGGATTTCGACCTGATGTTCCCTGGCCAGTCTGGCTCTCTGGTTAAGTCTCCAGTCATGTCATTACAGCAAACCTCACAGTTCTCTGTGTGTCTGTGGGTACACTTCAGGAACCAGACAGTAAACATGACATTCTTGTCTCTTCACAGGTAAGCTTCACGTTGTCACCAAACAGTAAATATGATAGGTAAGATTGAAAGTGTATTCTCAGACAGTAAATATGATAGATTAGCTTCATAGTTTATTCAGACAGTAAATATGATAGGTAAACTTCATAGTGTATTCAGACAGTAAATATGATAGATAAGCTTAATAGTGTATTCAGACAGTAAATATGATAGGAAAGCTTCATACTGTATTCAGACAGTAAATATGATAGGTAAACTTCATAGTGTATTCAGACAGTAAATATGATAGATAAGCTTCATAGTGTATTCAGACAGTAAATATCATAATTATGATAGGTAAGCTTCATGGTTTCTCCGGACAGTAAATTAATGGGTAAGCTTCAGATAGTAAATATGATAGGTAACCTTCATACTGTATTCAGACAGTAAATATGATAGGTGAGCTTCATAGTGTATTCAGAAAGTAAATATGATAGGTAAGCTTCATACTGTATTCAGACAGTACATATGATAGATAAGCTTCATAGTGTATTAGACAGTAAATATGATAGATAAGCTTCATAGCGTCTTCAGACAGTAAATATGATAAGTAATCTTCATAGTGTATTCAGACAGTAAATATGATAGATAAGCTTCATAGTGTATTCAGACAGTAAATATGATAGGTAACCTTCATACTGTATTCAGACAGTAAATGTAATAGGTAACCTTCATACTGTATTCAGACAGTAAATATGATAGGTAAGCTTCATAGTGTATTCAGACAGTAGATATGATAGGTAAGCTTCATAGTGTATTCAGACAGTACATATGATAGATAAGCTTCATAGTGTATTCAGACAGTACATATGATAGGTAAGCTTCATAATTTATTCAGACAGTAAATATGATAGATAAGCTTCATAGTGTATTCAGACGGTAAATATGATAGGTAAGCTTCATAATGTATTCAGACAGTAAATATGATAGATAAGCTCCACAGTGTATTCGGACGGTAAATATGATAGGTAAGCTTCATAATGTATTCAGACAGTAAAAATGATAGATAAGCTTCATAGTGTATTCAGACGGTAAATATGATAGGTAAGCTTCATAATGTACTCAGACAGTAAATATGATAGGTAAGCTTCACAGTGTATTCAGACAGTAAATATGATAGATAAGCTCCATAGTGTATTCAGACAGTAAATATGATAGATAAGCTCCACAGTGTATTCAGATGGTAAATATGATAGGTAAGCTTCATAATGTACTCAGACAGTAAATATGATAGGTAAGCTTCACAGTGTATTCAGACAGTAAATATGATAGATAAGCTTCATAGTGTATTCAGACAGTACATATGATAGATAAGCTTCATAGTGTATTCAGACAGTAAATATGATAGATAAGCTCCACAGTGTATTCAGACGGTAAATATGATAGGTAAGCTTCATAATGTATTCAGACAGTAAATATGATAGGTAAGCTTCATAGTGTATTCAGACAGTAAATATGATAGGTAAGCTTCATAGTGTATTCAGACAGTAAATATGATAGGTAAGCTTCATAGTGTATTCAGACAGTAAATATGATAGGAAAGCTTCATAGTGTATTCAGACAGTAGATATGATAGGTAAGCTTCATAGTGTATTTAGACAGTAAATATGATATTACCTATCATATTTACTGTCTGAATACACTATGAAGCTTACCTATCATATTTACTGTCTGAATACACTATGGAGCTTATCTATGGAGCTTCATAGTAAAGGTGTGTGATCTGACAGCTAGATCAGGTACTACAGTTATTTATTTTGTGTCATTCAGTGAGGGTGAGTCTGAGACGAAGGAGTTACTGGCCATGCTGGGGGGAAAACTCATCCTTTCCTTTTCCTCAACCATTTCTGTCAACTGGACTGTCCATGACAAGCTCTGGCATCATGCTGCCTTGACCTGGTCAGATTCTGGCCACTGGTCAGTGTATGTGGACGGCCAAATAATCAATGGGGGAACTACATACAATGAACAAGTTGCCATGCCAAACAAGTAAGTCCTACTTCCCTCTTAATTTGTACCAGATTTTCCTAGAAATTTTATTTCTATGTGGGAGATGACAATTTTTTATATTTTTTTCGATTTGTAAACGATCTTATGATATTCTAATCAATTTCAGAAAATGATTTTAAACAGATGCAACATTACTAGGAATTTGAGAAAAGTCATCAGGGAAAGACAGAAAAATATGAATGAACAGCAGAAAAATCCACATTCGCTTCACAGAGCATTGTAATTAATTTGTTTCAGACAATTCATTGTACTGGGACAGAGATCAGCATATCCCACAGCACACAATCTCTTTGAAGGGGAGATAAGTCAGGTGAATGTGTATAGCAAGGCCCTGAGTCAGATGACCATCCAGGCAATGGCCAACAACTGTACCACTAGCCAGGTACTAGGTGACCAACATCAGTGGCCTGAGTTCAGTAGCTATATCCATGGCAACGTTAGTGTCATCATGCCAACCATCTGTGGGGTGTCCACCTGTCCTCCGGGTCTGAAGGGACCTCGTTGTGACAAGCTCATTGGTATGTCATACAGACCTTCAGTAGATAATAATGTATATTTCTATACTACATACTTCGATCACCTCTAGTATTTAAGATTTGAGATCTTAACATTTTGTGAAGTATTAAATCTTAATTTTGTTAAAATTCTTAAATCAGATTTCAGAAATTTCGTTTTTAAGTATTAGCCACATTGTAGAAGTTTACTTCAATGAGTGATTCTGAAATTGCAGACAAGAACCCCCCTGTGGTCCACAACTGTACAGACGATATTATGATTGTGACTGACCAGCGTCTCAACAAAGTGGACTGGCAGGAACCAAGCTTCTCTGACGACGTAGGAGTGAACAATATTACCAAAACACACCGGCCAGGAATCACTTTATCCTACGGACAATATACAGTTCACTACACTGCCTTTGATGAGGAGAAAAACTTTGCCATCTGTAGCTTTGATATCTTCATTAAGCGTAAGTACATAATGCCAATGGACCACAATGGAAGCATGTCATTTATGTTTCCCTATATATCATACTTTCTATCTATATCCTCACTTGTTATGTAACCAGTGAGTTTGTCCTGGTACAGCCTGGTGTCTAGACTAAGGCACACTGGTTCTGTTGATGTTTGATTGTTTCTGATTTTATGTTGTTAATACAGCCTGGAGCTGTGTGATGCCTGCTAGTCCTAACAGTGTACAGGTAGAATGGAGTACGTGGGAGGAAGGACTATCTTTCCAAATCTCCTGTTTGGACTCAAACATACAGGACTTTCCTGTCCCAACACCCAACTGGTTCACTTGTGGCAAAGAGGGGTTCTGGGACCCTCCACAAGGAACAGACTTCACAATTCCAAGCTGTGCTGGTGAGTTTGCTGTTCACGGTTACCTCCCCTTATCAGAGATGTAGGTGCTCTATAGTAATCCCTGTAATCACCTGTTTATCTGTTCACGGTTACCTCCCCTTATCAGAGATGTAGGTGCTCTATAGTAATCCCTGTAATCACCTGTTTATCTGTTCACGGTTACCTCCCCTTATCAGAGATGTAGGTGCTCTATAGTAATCACTGTAATCACCTGTTTATCTGTGCTGGTGAGTTTGCTGTTCACGGTTACCTCCCCTTATCAGAGATGTAGTTGCTCTATAGTAATCCCTGTAATCACCTGTTTATCTGTCTTTTCACACTTTTGTTTCGAGAAATTATTTCAGAATCCAAGGCAAATCTTTTTGAAATTTGACATGGTGATACACTGTGATATTTGGATGTACAATAGGGATTTAAAAAGTTTCTAAGGTCAATGTCAAGGTCACTGTTATTAAGAATATGGAGTTTACGGTCGGGTACATGACGGGGGCCAGTGCTGACCTATCATTGTATAGTTTCAACTTATTTCCGGAATAAAGCACAGGATAATGTTTGTTCTATAACATATTAACATAGCCTCAACTGTAATATTGTAGAACTTTTTAAGTTAAAACTTTGAAACATCATCTGTAACAGCTTGTTAATAACTTGTGACTGTTACAGGAGTGACTTCAGCATCTGGAAGTCTGTCTGGAGAGATAAAATTCTTGGGACCAGTTTGTACTGAGGAAGCAGTACTGAGCCTGCAGCAGGATACTCTGGCTGTGTTCCAGGAGCTGTACCAGCCTCTGTGTCCCTCCTCAGGCTGTAGTACAGCCAGCATCCAGGTCGACTGTGGAGGCTTTGATGTCAAAAGAAGGAAGAGACAGGCTGACACCACCTACAGTGTCCTTTTTGAATTACCTGTGAATGGGTTAGTTTTGCCTCATTATTTACCAGGGGTTTAGTTGTGTCAGTCAATCTAATCACTAAGGAATAAGTAGGTCAGTCAATATCATCACTAAGAAATAAGTAGGTCAGTCATCTCATCACTAAGAAATAAGTAGGTCAGTTATCTCAACACTAAAAAATAAGTAGGTCTGTCAATCTCATCACTAAGAAATAAGTAGGTCAGTCAATCTCATCACTAAGGAATAAGTAGGTCAGTCAATATCATCACTAAGAAATAAGTAGGTCGGTCAATCTCATCATCACTAAGAAATAAGTAGGTCTATCAATCTCATTACTAAGAAATAAGTAGGTCAGTCAATCTCATCACTAAGGAATAAGTAGGTCAGTCAATCTCATCACTAAGAAATAAGTAGGTCAGTCAATCTCATCACTAAGGAATAAGTAGGTCTGTCAATCTCATCACTTAGAAATAAGTTCTGTCTGTCAATATCATCACTAAGAAATAAGTAGGTCTGTCAATCTCATCACTAAGGAATAAGTAGGTCAGTCAATCCCATCACTAATGAATAAGTAGGTCTGTCAATCTCATCACTAAGGAATAAGTAGGTCAGTCAATCCCATCACTAATGAATAAGTAGGTCAGTCAATCTAATCACTAAGGAATTAGAAGGTCTGTCAATCTCATCACTAAGAAATAAGTAGGTCAGTCAATCTCATCACTAAGAAATAAGTAGGTCAGTCAAATAAAAATTATTATTTTTTACCAAGGTATCGCTTGAATTATTTGATTTGAACTGACATTATATATCATACATTTTCTTGTAAATACAGGTCATCATTAGGCAGCTCTGGTAATGCAGGGACCCTGAGATTTGAGACAATGGTGAAGGAAGGCAGTTTTGACATGGCTGACTTTATCCTAGACAAGAACAATGCCAGTATAAGAAGTGCTATACAGTGTAAAGAGCCAGGCCAGATTCTTACCCCAGCTAATCTCTGTGGTAAGTATCTCATCATCAAGTGTTTACCCCAGCTAATCTCTGTGGTAAGTATCTCATCATCAAGTGTTTACCCCAGCTAATCTCTGTGGTAAGTATCTCATCATCAAGTGTTTACCCCAGCTAATCTCTGTGGTAAGTATCTCATCATCAAGTGTTTACCCCAGCTAATCTCTGTGGTAAGTATCTCATCATCAAGTGTTTACCCCAGCTAATCTCTGTGGTAAGTATCTCATCATCAAGTGTTTACCCCAGCTAATCTCTGTGGTAAGTATCTCATCATCAAGTGTTTACCCCAGCTAATCTCTGTGGTAAGTATCTCATCATCAAGTGTTTACCCCAGCTAATCTCTGTGGTAAGTATCTCATCATCAAGTGTTTACCCCAGCTAATCTCTGTGGTAAGTATCTCATCATCAAGTGTTTACCCCAGCTAATCTCTGTGGTAAGTATCTCATCATCAAGTGTTTACCCCAGCTAATCTCTGTGGTAAGTATCTCATCATCAAGTGTTTACCCCAGCTAATCTCTGTGGTAAGTATCTCATCATCAAGTGTTTACCCCAGCTAATCTCTGTGGTAAGTATCTCATCATCAAGTGTTTACCCCAGCTAATCTCTGTGGTAAGTATCTCATCATCAAGTGTTTACCCCAGCTAATCTCTGTGGTAAGTATCTCATCATCAAGCGTATACCCCAGCTAACCTCTGTTCTAAGTATGTTATAAGATGTCTGTCCCAGGTAAGCTCTGACAGTAGAGTGTCAGTAGATGTTGATATGCAAGTAGACAGCATTTGAGTTTATCTTTATAAAACATACTGTTGTATTTCTCATTACAGTAAATTGTGCTGTTGGAACATATAAAAATGACAACACATGTGTTTTGTGTGCGATTGGTGAGTTCTCCGACTCTGAGAGACAAACTTCCTGTCAGAGATGTCCACCAGGAACCACTACACAGACACGAGGCTCGACCCACAGAACACATTGCTTCAGTAAGTCACAGCAAATTGTCCACTGATATTGACATTGTTTTATGTAGATAGACTTCTTTATGTGAAGTTCAAAAGTTAATATAACTTTAGAACACTTGATGATGTTCCTTGTACCTAATTCACAAAGTATTTAAACGTAATGCTGGGATTTCTCCAACCAGAAACTAGCAGACATCATTTTCCTTCCTTTATCATACAATGCTCATCCAAAAGTTATCTGCTATTTTCAGCATTATGCTCTACTGGTGAGTTTTATGACAAAGGGATCGATGGATGTGGGACGTGTAGCCTTGGTTACTACCAGGATGAAGTCGGACAGTTCAGTTGTAAATCCTGTCCTAATGGCCAAATGACTACCGACCGAGGAGCCGACTCTGCAAGCCTCTGTACTGGTATGTATAGCTACCATTAAGTGTGGTCTATAGTTAGCTGGTAGTAATACATCCACTTGATGTATGTGGTACTGTCCAGAACTGATGTATGTGGAACTGTACAGAACTGATGTATGTGGTACTGTACAGAACTGATGTATGTGGTA